TGGGAGCATAGAATCCTTTAACAAAAGTGGTCATATATGTAGCTTACAATTGCATCACATGCAACCTAAGAAAAGGTTCTATATGTAGAAGTGGTCAAAATTGCATGAAATTCACACCCTAAGATTGAACCAACCGTCCATGCTTTGGACGGTGAGATCCATATGGTTAGTAACTCGACGCATCTATTTTCTTTTTCATTCTGAAATTGCCGAGAGTATGTATAATGTACTCCAGAGTATAATGTACTTCCTCTGGAGTACATTGTACTTAGTACTCTTGCATGTAAAAAGGCTGCTCGGGAAATCATCATATATGGTCTCTGTTCATTATTAAGATTTTTTTTCCCAAGTAAATATAGAATGAGAACTAATGCCTTCTTTCTTTGACGATGAGTTGAAAATGTTGCATCCTAAAAATATGGGCTCCTAAAATGTACTTTTAAACTAATTTCGATCTTTCTAACACTTAGATCGCAATTTTAAAAAATTGGACGGTCTCTATTCAATCTTGAGGCATTCTCTTTTTAAGCCTATACAGAATGCAATTTGGAGATTTTTTTTATTGAGTATAGCATACAGGTACATACGAAAAATATAGAGTCCTAAAAATACTCCTAAATTGGTTTTTCCCGAGAAGTAAATGAATGGTATGCTCCCTTGAGAGCATCAAATATTTTGGCAATTTATAGGAGATTAACATAGATCCATTTCTATTAACCCGCAAATATTTGACAAAAATTTACTATAAAGTCGACTTATGGTAAATCGAGTTAATGTAAAATTGTAAAAATTCAACTTTATCAGGTTAATGAATTTGTTGCAAAACTAATGAAAATTATTAACTTTCCCTAAATCTGTTTGATTTTTCTTTACCATATTCTTATTGAATTCTAGATTTTGCTATGACCAACAACCTAGTAATAGCAAACACTTATTTTAAAAAGCGAGATGAACATTTAATAATCTATAAACGTGGAACACATAAAGCTAGATAGACCTTTTTCTAGTTAAAAAGGTAGATCGACCATCATGTAAAGACTGCAAGGTTATCTCAAGAGAAAGTTTGACTACCCAACATAGGTTCGTAGTCATAGATATTTGCATAAAGACATGGAGGAGATGAAAGTACTGGGCGTCCAAGAACTAGGTGGTGGAATTTAAAAAAAAAGACGAAAATAGACTTATTTAGGGATAAATTAGTTGAGGAAAGAAAATTGAATTTTGAACATCATGTCAATGTAATATAGAATAAGATGGCTGAATGTATCTAGAAAGTGGCAAAATAAGTTTTAGGGAGGGAAAAGAAACTTCAAAAGGAAACTTGGTGGTGGAATGATGAGGTTCAGAGGGCCATTAGCGAAAAACGATCATGTTAATAAATTTGGCAGTGTAATAGAAATGATCAAAATATAGAAGAATATAAAATTGTTAAACAAATAGTAAGTAAATATAAACTTAAGACATATGATAATCTATACAATAAACTGGGAACAAGAGAATGTGAAAAATATATCTTCAAACCAACAAAAATAATAGAAAAAAATGTAGGGATCTATACTACATTAAATGCATTAAGAGTGGGGATCAAAGGGTCTTGATGAAGGATGACGAGGTCAATAAAAGGTGGATAGTCTATTTTCACAATTTATTAAATGACGAACACAATGAGAACATAATAGTAGAAGGGATTGTTGGAACAAGTGACGGTGGAGGATATAGATACATTCGTCGGATTAGGATGTCGGAAATGAAAAAAGCTTTGAAAAAGATGATTGTAGGAAAGATTTTAGGATCAGATGGTATCCCAATAAAAGTTTGGAAGTGCATAGGGGAAATTAGCATTGACTAGATGACAAAACTATTCAACAATGTGTTGAGAACAAAGGACATGCCAGACGAATGGAGGAAAAGTATTGTAGTACTTCTTTTTTTTTGGGAAAGAATTTGATTACTCCATTAATAATAAAAAGGAGCTATACATGTACATAGAGAAAAAAAGGAAAATGAGAACACTAAAACAAGTTATCCGAAATCAGAATTGTATCCATCCGCCACCGAATTCACTTCAGGGTACACATGCTGAAAAATTATCGCCATTTGGTTGGAAATATCCATAATTTCAAACAAATTGCAACTCAAGGTCCAAGGAGAACTAGATTCCTTCTTGTACCAATTGATTGTGCTTAAAGAATCACCCTAAATGATGCAAGGAACGTTCCTAAAATGATGATGCAATATATGCACTGCTTGGAGAGCAGCTTCGATCTCTTTTGAATATAGTAATTCCACATGGTCCACCATAACAAAGAAGCACTTCCCCACTCTCGAATTCTTGATCACCCCTCCAAAATCAGCTGGCCCAGGATTCTCATGTGAACTTCCATCAAAGTTTAACTTAATATACCCATTTGGAGGTGGATTCCAAACCCGAAGTGGTCTAGCTTTAATATTTTTCTGACGAAAAAGCTTTAAGAGATTTAAACTTATATCAACCTCAGTTACACCAAATCCCTCTTTTGTAATAGAAAACCATTTCCAAATAGTGTGCACAATTCTCTTCTTAACTACCCCAGATTCAGATTGTTTTCCTTCAAAGACCCTACTATTTCTCTCCCTCTAGATCTCCCACAAAATTGCCGCCCTAGCAATCAACCAAATCATTTTCCCGATACCCATGAGGCCTATGAAATGCCAAAATTTCAAAATCTGAGTATGATTCATCAGAGTCACCATTGAGATCTCAAGCATTTGAAACAGCCATCACCATATATTATGAGTGAATTGATAGTGTAAAAACAAATGATGACCAGTTTCAGCATCTTCTTTACAAAGCATATACACATTTACCACAACTCTTCCCCTTTTGACGAGATTATCAACAGTTAGAGTTTTACTTTGAAAAAGTATCCATAAGAAGCATCATACTTTCAAAGGAACCACTGATTTCTAGGTTTTATGCAAAGACTCCGGTCGCCATCTCAATCTATCATAAAATAACATGTCATATGCAGATCACACACTGAATTGTCCATCACTTTGAGCCTCCCAAATAATCTCATCCTCCATAGATTGTGAGAGACGCCTTCATTGGACAAGGGATGTGATATCTACAACCTGTTGGATCACAGTATTTGGCATTCTATTTCTAAATAACTACACATTTAACTGTACTGTCTCACCTCGCATATCCACCATTTCTACCACTGTCAACTCCTTATTGATAGACAATTCAAAAAGCTCAGCGAACTGTAGTACTTATTTATAAGAACAAAAGAGATATACATAATTGTGTGAATGATCAAGGGATCAAACTTATGGGCCATACTATGGAACTCTAGGAGATAGTGTCATTTAGCAACAATTAAAGCATGAAATGAGTGTATCTGAAAATCAATTTGGCTTTATGCCAGGAAGGTCAACAACTGAAGCTATTTTTCTGCTTAGGCATTTGATTAATAAGTTTAGGGTGAAGAGAAAATACCTCCACATGGTCCTTATTGATCTAGAGACGGGTTATGATAGAGTACCTCAATATTTGATTTAGCGGGTGTTGGAAAAGAAGTGCGTCTCTAAACACTACATCGACTTGGTGAGAGATATATACGATGGAGCGTTAACTAGTGTGCGAACAACTAGTTGAGAGACGAATGTGTTTTTAGTGACAATAGGTTTACTTCAAGGGTTAGCATTGAGCCCATACCTCTTTGTTTTAGTTATGAACGACTTAACTAGGCATTTACAATATGAGGTACCATGGTGTATGTTGTTCGCAGATGACATACTTTTGATTGAGGAGACCCGATTTGGCATCAATAAAGTTAGAATTTTGGAGGGATGCCTCAAAATCCAAAGGTTTTAAAATTAGTCGGACAAAGACAGAGTATATGGAGTACAAATTTAGTAATAATAGGAGTAGAGACGAGGAAGTAGTCAAGATTGACTGCAGGAAGTATAAAAAAGATCGTACTTTTGAGTTCTTCGGTCGATAATCTAAATAAATAGAGAGATTGAAGAAGATGTCGCATACAGAATTAGAGCTGGGTGGGCAAAATAGAGCTGTACAATTGGAATTTTATGTGCTTACCGCATATCAATGATGCTGAAAGGTAAGTTCTAAAGGACAACTGTAAGACTGGCTTTGCTCTATGGAGCTGAATGTTGGGCAGACAAAAAACAATATATCTATAGAATGAGTGTAGCATAGAAGAAGATGTTGAGATGGATGAGTGACAAGACAAGAATGGATAGAATTTGAAATGAATCTATTCAAGAGAATTTAAGGTAGCACCAATAGACGATAAAATGAGAGAGAATAGAATTAAGTGGGCTGGCCATGTGTGGTGCCGACTAAGTACAACACCGGTTATGAAGTGCGAGTTAGTTCAAGTGGAAGGACTAAAAAATACAAAGGGGTAGGCCCAAAAGGATATGATTGGAAGTAGTTCGAAAAAAATGTGGACTTATAGTTTCACTGAGGATATGATATTTAATAGAGCAGAATGAAGAACCGGGATTCATGTAGCCGATCCCAATTAATTGGAAAACGACTAAAATGATGATGATGATGATATGATGATATTGTTATCATATAATAGTAAATTTACTGATTTTGGCCTAAATCTAATATATAAAATGATTTTATCTGCGAATAGTTTTATTTGTAAATTGATTTAAATCTATGGTCAATTTATAGTAAAAGGATCTATCAAACAAGGTGCTTGCTAGCTCTAAGTTTCCATGAGTCCGAATTTTCCAGATCCCAAGAATTTTCAAGATCCCCATTATGAGGTGCCCTACATGCTCCTATGTAGAGAAGTAAACCACATCCACACATCCATATGAAAACAGAGAATTTATGAAGAGATTTATCATTCTCTAATCAATGGATGTACGGTGAGGGAGCGAGAAAGGATCCAGAACTTGACGTGGATCTAAGAATAGTTGCTTGAATGTCTCTGCATCACCGTCCATCAAACAATTGAATGGTATGACCCCATGACCATAGATTTGTATGGGTGATAACATATGGTCCTTAGGGTTTTTGCCCCTGCAAGTTTCTCTCTCTCCACAGTTCTTTTCCTGAACAGTTATTTGGTTCTCTATCCAAAACATTTCAAACTTGGAGATCAAGACTGCTTCACCTGATTCTTCTAGGAAGAGAAACCTCTCTCTCTCTCTCTCTCTCTCTCAAACTCTGTGTTATTAGAAAAACCTGCTGCCCTAAAGGAAAGCCCTCTTTCTCTCTCTAGTCTGATGTTACCAGAAGGAGGCTCCCCACCTTAGTCATGCCTTTGTCTCGTAGCCTCGTGTGCGCCTCTTCAACTGCTATTCGCCTATGTTTTCGGAGCCGATCAAGAGATGGAGTTCGAATCGTTAACATGTAATAGTTCCCTGTATTCACATCGAGCTCTTTTTATTTTTTGTTCTTTATCGTCTTTTGGCTTGAAGTTAGGTTATCATAGAGATCTTGGACCATGGATTTTCTGAACATTTTTTGTATAGATTATATGACCATAGGTTTGGATTGCTTCTTTGTGTTTCCTTTTTGAATGCAGAGACTCTGCTTAATTTGACTGGAAATACTGGCGTGCTTATTTTGTGACGAGTTAATCGAAGTATTGATAGGTTTCTGTTTTCTTCTTACATATATGCAAGACCTTGGCATATCTATATACTGTTGAGTGTTCAACATTAGCATCGGTATATATTAGTAGCTGTATACTTTGAATTTCGTTACTGTAAGCAAAATGTATTTGCAAGTTGAGTGTGTGTGAAGGGCTTCATACCTCTATTCCAATGTCATTTGTTATGAGGCTTCGTAATTTGGAAATCCATCTTTCTTCAGTGAAGCTTGAAAATATGCAAAGCTGGCAGTTTTGGTTGTTGAAAAGAAGGGTGCATAACTTTATGAAGGTGTTATGAAATGATTTCTCTATGGATTCAGACCAGTGTTCGCAAAATCGAACAGGAACGGTTAACCGGACATGGGCCTGGAAGCGGTTTAACTGGCCTAACTGGTAAACCGACCGATTCAACTGCTCTAACCGGGCAAGTCCCAGGCGGTCAAAT